ATAAAAATTTAAATTTATCACTTATAAATAAAAAAAAAAAAAACTATTACAAATTAATCTAAATATACTCTTAAAATCCGACTTTGCCTGGCAAATTGCACGCCACCCATTCATTCCAATGGGTTATGATTATTTTTGTTTGATACATCCAGTGGGTTATGAATTTTTTTTTTTTGAACAACTGGATTGAATCGTTGTCTTGGAGAGAGAGGTAAGTGAACTTTTACAAAAATAATAGATACCACTTGAAACTATGAGCCAGATTTCAATGGATTATGATTATTGCTTACAATATTTTAAAATATGCAATAATCATATTTAGACGTAAAATGGTAAAATGGTTTATAGCGTGTTCATTAGAAAGTGTAAATATGCAATAATCATATTTTACAATATTCTAAAATATCGGATGCCAATTTCACATCAATAGACCTTTTTCACTTTAGTTTTTTTTAATCGGTAAAATGGTTTGCAGCCGATAACGTCAATATTTAGGCGGAATGACTCATTGAAACGACACCATTTCAATTTATAGCACTTATTCCCGACCCGAAGCCATTCAACTCGTCCTTGTTTCCAAAATTTCACAAACCCTTAAATATGAATTTCACCACTGAATTCGTCATCTTCAATAACCACATCACGCACCTTGGCCTCACAGCTCAACGGCTTGTAAGGTGCATCCTCAGCCTTACAAGCCGTTGAGCTGAGGTTCGATTCCCCTCTCTCCCAAAATTGTAACCTTGTTCAAAAAAAAAAAAGAAGAAAAAGAAAAACCACATCACTGCGCAACCCAATGACGGAAACTCATTAAGTGGAGATTGCTTTGGCTTTTTCAGTGAGCCTCCGTGCTTTCTTCCACTCATCAGTTTTAGCTGCTGCTGTTGCTGCTGCTGTTGCTGCTGCTTATGGTGCTTCATCAATAACCACATCACCTTTTATTCTTCGATTTTCCTCTTTTTCTCTTCATTCAGAACCCCTATTTTATCTTTGATTTCCCTCACTCAATTCCACTCTTTTTCAGTTTCCCCTTCAAATCTCTGCTTGGAATCATAGAGGAAGAACGACCAAAAAACAAAATTTTGTGGAATAGGTTCGCCCCGTCAAAGTAAGCTTTCTTGGCTGGCACTTTTTGTTGGATCTTTTGTCGATAAAAGATAATCCTACGAGCAGAGGTATTTCCTTGGGCCTTTCGGTTTTTGCTTTTTCTCATCTGGGTATTTGAATTTCGAATTGGGTATTCGAAAAGATTGGTATTTGTTTCTGGGTTTTTAAGAAGAGAAGGAAAGAAAGAAATGAAGCCTGTTTCTGGGATTTTTGTTTCCAGAATTTTTGTTTCCAGTCAATTGTATACTTTTGCTTGTGCCAAGGAAATACCTCCTGCTCATACTAAGGATTTGCGAATTTTTGGAAAGGGGAAAGTTGCAGACGAGAAAAACAAATTAGGACAAGGGCTTAACTTGAAACGGCGTCGTTTCAATAGTTCATTCCGCCTAAAAATGGACATTACCGGCTGCAAACCATTTTACCGTTTTTTAATTTGATTTTGAATTTTTTTTAATTTGTATCTTAAGCTTATTGGTTTAAAATATTTTTTATTATAAATATATAAAAAAATCTAAAAATGAATATTAATTTTAATATTAATATCAAAAGTATAAATTTAATTAAATAATTAATAAATTAATTTTTAATTTTTAATTTTTTAATATAAATTTATAATAAAAATATATATTTATTACATACTCCTTTTTACATTATCAAAGGATCAATGTGATAAATTTCTTTTGGGTGAAGATAAAAATAAAAGAATAATTAAAAGGTCTTGAATTTAAATAATGAGCTTCATGTTGATGGAATACACAAATATATCAATTGTTTCCTTTATGTCAAATATGGTGAAACGCAAAA